GAATAATCCCCAAAACCCCATTCTCATCATTACAGTAAGGACCTATCCTAAAGCCCTACTCCACCGAAATTCCGCAAGGGTGTCTTAAGGGCAGAGGCTTCCCTATTCGGGGTATGGGGGTTCAGGAAAATAGGGACCCATAATATAAACAATGAAATAGTAGGATTCCCTGCAAGGACCCCATGAAGGTGCCCCTCCTATCGTAAATTTCCGGTATGGACCTTGGTGAAATTTGGATTCAGGCATTTTGGGGCTCCCAGCGCCAGGACTGCCTCCTGCAATTCCCTGCTGACGGAACAGCCGACGCCTCAGGGTTGAGGTCTTAAAACCCAAACACCCTACGTAAAAAGACGAACGAACCCAAACTAACCCCAAGACCCCAAACCACAAAGCCCCAAAACCCTACCCTGCTCTTCAGGGTCTAGGGCTGAAAGCTTCACGCTTGCAAATCGGGTTGAGGGCCCTAGAGTTTGAGCGCAGGTTGTGCGGCACAAGGCAAGCAACCCATAGGCAAGCTATAGAGTTTCTTATTTCAGCAGTTTAGGGTTTAGAGTTCAGGAGTTTATGTTGTTAGAAGTTTAGGCATGTCTACGTTGTATTTATAGGGTTTAAGGAGATGAAATTGGCAATTTTGCGGCAGGTGCTCTTCCGATGCTGCTCATATGTCGATGCATGTGTGGAGGGCAAGGTAGTGCAGTGCAAAGTTTTGTGTCGTACTGTAGATGTCGGTGTGCAGGCATGCCTCTCGTTATATGCAACCTGCTCTGGAAAACGTCGCATGATGCAGCGTAGTTCAACATAAGCATGCCTACATGTGTGCACGCCAAGTATGCAGTGGCATGGCATAGCATGGCAAGGTGTGGTACAGCATAGCATCCAGTGGGGACACAGTCTGTGCGTGCTCGCCCATGATCAGGAAAGAGACTCTTCAGAGAGGCGCAGAAGAAGGACACAAAGACACAATGATGCGTTCACACAGGCATGTGTGTATGTAGGCAGAAATTGGGGCTTCCGAAAGTTGGGGGTCCTTTATTTCGGGGTGTGTCCTTTGGGAGGAAAAGCTCCCATGCAGAGAGATAGATCGGTAAAGACCAGGCAAAAAACCCTAAGAAGAGCAAGCAACCAAAGAGAGAGCGAGAGAATCCGAATCCCACGACCTTATTCACCCCCTACAAAACAACTTCCCAAGCAAACCGCAAACCCCAAATTCAGACCCTGAAGCGCTTCTGCAACCTCTAAGCCCTAAACCCCGTAAATCCCTTAAACCCCCAAAACCCCTGAACCCGAACCCTAAACCCCAAACCCTTAAACCCCTCAAAACCCCTAAACTCCCCCCCCCCCCCCCCAAAAAAAAAAAAAAGCCCTCTTAAGGTTCGGCCGGGCACGCGGCGGCCCCTTGAAGCCGCCTGGGCCGCCACGTCGGTTGTGGGCGCGCACAAGCTGCGCTACGGGGATCCAGGCCGAGGGCCCTAGGGCCTTATAGATATCTATATATATATGTATATATGTCTATGTATGTATATAGATGTGGATATGTATATATTAATATAGATGTATATATAGAATATGTAAATGCATATACAAATATGTATAGACGATGTACATGTAAGGGCTCAGGGGTCATGAGTTTTGGGCTTGGGCGGAATCAGGGTTGTGGGCCATAGTTGTGGGTTTAAACTTTAGGGTTCAGGTGTTATGGGTGTATAGGGTTTAGGGCAGGCTAGGGATGGTTTCGCGCTCTAACCCGCCCATCCCAAAGCCTGCCAAAACCTCAAAGAGTCAAGGCATTGGTTTAGGAGGTGGTTTTGGAGTTGAGAAGGGGCCTTATAAGGTGTGGGGCTCAGGCCCGTGCACAAACAAAGATAAAACCTCAACCGTAAACCCTACAAATAAACCCTACAAACCCTAAACCGCCTAAACCCTAAATACATACCCTAGACCCTAGAAAGAAACCCCTATACAAACAAACCAAGAACTATACAATCAGGAATCGACTTCCTGGCGAACCTTGCGGAGCCTGAGACTGTTTTTTGTGGGAGCTTTCGTTGCTGTTTGTGTTTTTGTTTTGGGGGGATCCGCAGAGTGCGAACTCGTTGGGCTTCCGCGCGCTTTCCGATCTGGAGGCGCAAAAACCCTTGTTCGAGGCCCTGGCTTGAGACTGGGGCTCAGTGTATCCCTGTAGTATGATAAGGCCACCGTTTCGATCTGCGGCGTGGTGTTCGGAGGGTGGAGGTCGCATAGTAGAAGCCCTACACCCCAAGCATGTACTTTAATGTTAACGCTACGCGACCCGCCTCGGCCCGGCCCAGCGCATCCGCGTGAGGATGGTGATTCCGCAGCGCCCAAGTCGCTGGACCGCAAGCAATAAGGGTTGGGTTGAGGGTTGAGGGTTGAGGGTTCCGGGTTTATGGTTTATGGTTTGGGGTTTGGGGTTGAGGGTTAGTTTAGGGCTCAAGGTTCACGCTTTGGGGTTCCTTAAGGTTTAAGGCGACTCTTCGGCAGGGTTGGGGGGAGGGGGAGGTGGGGTGGGGGGAGGTGGGGGGGGGAGGGGGGTGGGGGGGTGGGGGGGGGGGTGAGGGGGGGGGTGGGGGGGGGGGTGGGGGGTGGGGGGGAGGGGGGGGTTGGGCGGCGCGGGGCCCTGGGGAACCGGCTTGCGGACCCCGGTTGGGGTACCCATTTGAGGCCAAAAAAAGGGGTCCGAAAAAGGGCTTTGGGTGTGGGGGGGGAGGATTTGGAGGGGGGTGCCTGTTCTGCAAACCTGAACCAGAATCCCTATTTGGTGGTTGCCTAAGTGGGACCCAAAGCCTGAAACCCTGAGGGCATCCATTAAATCCATAAGGTCACCCTTAAAACCCGAAACCATGAGAACCCCAAACCCTAAACTGCAAAACCCCCGCAAGGAAGAGACGCGGAAGTCGCTGGACAACCACATGCCGGAGTTCATCCTCCAGGCTTGGTTCAGGTTTTTTGTGGGGCCCGAAAACTTTGCAGGTTAGGCTTTAGGGTGGTTAGCGCTTCGAGCCTTTCGTTGTCGAGTTGGCAAAAATGGCAAAAATGCGCGGGAGTTTGCAAGGCCCCAAAAGCTTCCCCGAAGGAGCTCTAGGGTCTCGGGCTCAGGGGTCCAAGTTCATTAAACCTTTCTCTCAAGTCAGCTGTGCGAGTGCCATTGAATCTTCAACAGCGGTTCGCTTTTCCGCGAAGCTCAGAAATCGGTTCACTGTCAGTGCTTGTCGCCCCGATCCTGCGAAGGTTCATTGAGAAGGGCCCGGACGTTCTGGCCTTCTGGCCGCCTGGAGAACTTAGAATCAGAGGCTGAGCACCTGAACCTCGTGGAACCCCGAAGCGTTCCACCTCTACTTCTACCAGACAGTCTACTGAGTATTGCAGGCCCTAACCCTCCCTGGCGTTTGGAAAACCCAAACGACCTCGAGACGCCCCTTAATGTCGTAGATTTAGAGCTTACAGGGTATATAGGATTTATGTGGGTTTGCAGGGTTCATGTTGCCCAGGCAGAGCTTGGCTTGCGTGTACGACCTGATCCTCGCCCAACGAACTCCGACGGACTTTCTGCATATGTGGCGCAGGAAGATGCGCTGGAAATGGTCAAAATTGCCGTGGCCCAGTTCTCTTTGACCCGAAGCAGCGATGGGAAATGCGAGTCTTAAGAGGACTGCTAAAAAGGAGCACGTCAATGATCGCGTATTTTGCTGGTCTGTACTGCACCGGCCACGACGTGAACCTGGTGATGGCGGATTGCCCGTTTTCAAACTTGTGTGCGAGCATCCGACTGGAGTCCAACATAAACCTGAACCTATATCTCCTGACACCTAAACTGTGCCTAAACCTCAAGGCTTCTAAAAAGCCGCCTGGGCAGAGACCGACCCGGCCCTGCTGGAGAGTGGACACTGGAATCTTATAGTGGAGGCGAGTTGATTCCCACTGAGAGCGGCACTGGCTTGTCTGTAGACAGCGGGGGCTTCGCATCCGGTAGAGGGATACGAACTCCCGAGTAGCCGCGTGTCACTTCGAGGACGTGCAATTAGTACCCGTCATCCCTTCTTATGGGCTTGGCTCGCTTCTCACGGTATCTGTGATTCTTGTAGGTTACTGCAGAACCTAGATTGTTACGACGTGGAAGTGTGACGTTGGGAAAAAACTCCCGTCCTTGGTGTAGCGCGACTGCCGCGGGCACGCAGGACGAGAATGTCAGCTTGCAAAGTCGAGCTCGCGGGGGAGAATGTCCGCAATGTCTCAACCCGTCTGGTTTACGGCTCAGGGTGCCGAAGCCCTGAACCTTCAAGCCTTACACCCTATCAATCCGGCTCCCTTTCCTTGAGAGCACAGGTCTTGCGATCCACCAGGGGATAGATCTTCAGGTTTAGGGATCAGGGCTTCCGTCACCTAAACCCCAAAATTGCTCAGTCCCGCTTTCAGGGTGCCCACTCTTTGGTGTAAGGGCAATATAATCGTGTTACAATCAGAAAGTTATGTGCACCAAGCAAGGAAACTGCAATTACATATGTTCTAGAAAGGATTGTTTGGGACATCCCTTCATATGCCCTAACATTGGGGGTTTATGGTTTAAGGTAAGAGTCCCTTTTCCGAGATTTTCAAAACGGCCATATCCCCTCATGGTCCCTTAATATGGCCCCTTAAAAGCAGCCGTTGCAGACCCCTAGTATCCCTTAACTGTCCCTTAAGAAGCCCTGTTTCGGCCCAAACTTCCCTTCATCCACTTCTTTGGTGGGTTCTTCTAGTCCAACCCTCTAAGTACCCCTGATTAGGGGTACTTAGGGTATCTGAGCAAAGTTTCAAGGAAGGTTCGGAGTTTTTGCGAGGTCTCATACGGGCTCAGATGCCAACCCTGCGTCCCCTCAACCCTGGCCTACCCGAAATGCCCTAAGCCCGAAACCCCCGAACCCGGAACCCCCAAGCCCATGCCTCGCCTAAACTCCAAATCCTTAACCCTAAACCCTAAATCCAGATTAAAGTGCTCTGAGGCGATCTCTGCGCCTTCCGTCACCCCGCGCCTGCGCCTGCAGTCGACCCGCCAGGGCGCCCTGATGGTTTCGGGTTCAGCCCCAAACCCTTAGCTTCTCCAGGCTACTTCAGAAACTTACAAGGGGCTTTACGTTAATAACTTTTAGCGGCATACAATTTGGGAGTGAGAGGGAGGGAGGGAGAGGGAGCCAGAGAGAGACAGAGATAGTTCGGGGATCACCCTGGACACGAGCAGCGCGTCCAAAGGCGCAGAGTCAATGAACTCAGAGGTGGTCACACATAGGATATCTCTGGTTTCTTTTACACATTCGTACCTTCGCGTTGCTCACACACAAGAAGGTTTAGGACGTAGGTGGCTTATGGGCTGTAGGGTTTAGGGGGACTTTTGGTAGGTTTTACAGTTCAGGGCTCAATGTTTACAGGATTCGCAAGGTTTGTAGGGCTAAAGTGCCCTGCAACACCCGAAACCCTAGAGTCCCCCAGGTCCATCTGCCGTCACTTCCTCGAAGGGAAGTGCAACTACGGCGATGCCTGCCGTTTCAGCCATGGAGGCACCGAAGCTTTGATAGGGTCTTCATAGGGATCTAGATAGGTTTCTTTATAGGATTTTTGTAGGGTTTTTAACATGGCACCGTTGCTTAGGGCTTAGGATGTGTTTAGGTTGGGCCAAGACATCAGGGTTCCCTGGCAACTGGACTAGGCAGAAGCCAGCTAGGTGCCCCCCAGGCCTCGTTTCCCAACCCCCAAAACCCTACGGCAACACCAAACTCGACGTCCCAAATCTTGAACCTCAAACCCAAAACCCTCAAGGTTTAAATCCCCAAACCTTGAAGCCACCGGAGGCCCAAGCTCCGAAGCCCCAAACCCTGAGCCTCCAACACTTCTCCCTCCTCTCTTGGACTCGGCTGTAGACTGGGCTTTGGGGTAGCATCGTTTTTGTTTTGGTGTTCTTTTTTATGGATTCTTTATTCGTCCAGGGGTCCCGAGAAGCCCGAAGCTCTGAAGCCTCAACCCTAAACCCTGACCGCCACCGGAGGTCCGGCGCAGGTTCCGGTTGTGGTTACTACGGCGCCTTTGCCGCCGAAGCCGAAACCGATGGTGCCTCCCACGGCCGTGGTGCCAGACGACAGGCCATCCCCTACACTACACCCTCAGCCCAAAACCCTTAATAAAAACCAAACGCCTAACCTCCTGTAAAGACTAAAACCTTGCACACCCTTTTCGGTCTTCAAGGGGAGAGTCTGTTTTGGGACTTTTGGCAGGGGCCAACCTTGCGTAAATGTAGCTGGGCAGGCCGTGCCGCCACTTCTTGGAAGGACAACGCCGGTGCTTTCGCAAAGTTGATGGGATGCGGAGTGATCAGGGTTTAGGATTATTAAGCTTAGGGTGCCGTACTATGTATGGGACTTGGGATGTTCCCCCTTACACTAACAGTCCTTGCTAGGGATTACAGCCCCTTACTAGAATCCCCTTTCTTTAAGGACTGTTAGTATAGCGGGGAACATCCCAACCCAAAACCGCTAAAGAGCCCGAGAGAACCCCTTATCCAAGTACAGCCTCGTTTTGGCTTTCATGTTGGACTACGCATTTGTTGTGAAACCAGGTCAGTCGGAAACCTTGAACCTTTTCTGGGTGGTGTAAAGCCCTCAGACACCCAAAGGCCAGCCTTCTTTCCCCCTCCCCCACCTAGAGGGCTTTGTCCAAAGTGATGCAGGGTCTGAAGAACCCTCTCCTAGTACCTCCCATGATGCTCGCCTTCCCAGAGCCACGCAAGCCCCCACGATTGAATCGAACTCCGGAGGACGGTGCACCTTCGGGGATGCCTGCCGCTTCTCCCACCAAGGCCTGTCAGAAGTCTGAGCACCGCGGCTGAGGTTTACAAGATGGATGGGCCGAGGACTTGCAAAGGGTTTTTAGGGTTTTGGGTTTGGGGTTTAGGGTTTTTAGGGTGGGACTGAGAAATGAAAAAGCAACTCCCCACCCCCCGCGCAACAAACCCAACTGACCCCAACCAACCCCCCCGGGGGGCCCCCCCAAAAATGGCCCCCCGGGGCCCCCCAACAACAAATCCAACAAACCCAACTGACCCCACTGACCCCAACAAACCCCAACAAACCCCAACCGACCCCAACAAACCCCAACAACAAATCCAACAAACCCAACTGACCCCACTGACCCCAACAAACCCCAACAACAAATCCAACAAACCCAACTGACCCCACTGACCCCAACAAACCCCAACAAACCCCATCAAACCCCGAAGCGCGCAGTCGATGTCCAGCAGCTCGAGCCGCCTGGGGAGCCCACCGCGTTAGCGGACGACAGGCCACTACTGGGGCCCTGTGGGGTTTTGGGGGTGTAGGGTTTAGGGGATGTATGCAAGATTTCGAGTGCATGGGGATTTTGGCAGTTCGTTGAGGGTTTGGGTCGCTGTGCTGGCTGACTTGAGGCTGCTAGAAGCTCCAACTGGACAACATGGCCGAACTATGGCTCTGAAGTTGCCTTTGAAACCCGAAACCCCAAGCCCCAAGCCTGCAGTAATGCAGTACATAGAAGCCCTCTGGCCCTACAATTTCCGCCGAGGGGCCAGGCTCTGAGCGTTTGTGAGATTAAACAAGGGCCTTGCGCTCAATACTTCCTCAAAACACTAGGGGTTCCGAAAGTAGGGGTACTCGCGTCGCCCCAAAAGCCCCTAACCCCAAACCCACCCTGAATCTTAAACCCTGGATACACCCTCAACCCCAAACCCAAAGCCCTACTCAACCCTGCATACGCCCTAAGCCCCAAGACTTAAACCCCCAAACCCTCAAAACCCCCAGGTCCATTTGCCGTCACTTCCTCGCCGGGAAGTGCAACTACGGTGACGCCTGCCGCTTCAGCCACGGAGGCGCTCCCCTGCTGTCCTCAGGTGGTTTGAAGGGGGTTTTTCCATAGGGTTTTACAGTTTTTTGTGACAGTATACTGGCTTTTTACAGGGTATTTAGAGGGGTTTGCTGGGGTCTGAATGGATTCAAATGGGGTGTGCAGGGTTTATAGGGGTTCGGGTTGCCTCTAGGGTTTCTTCATGAGTTCAGGGCTCCCTCAGACCTAAGCCGAAACCCAACCGCTTGTGCACCTGAGCAGCCCAGAAATATCCCCCAAACAACCCTCAGCCCTAAACCGCAAAACCCCTAAACCCCGAAGCCCTACACTTGACACCTGAAGCCCCGGCACCCGATTGCACTTCGAAGGGCAGGAAGCATCCGAAGGTACTCGTAATCTCCACCCTAAACTGTCCTGCATCTACGCCGCTTTTTCCCTAAAACCCCTGAACCGCAAGCCCTAAACTTCCCTAAACTCTAGGCCCTTGGGACATGGTGTATCTTTCCTTTATTGAACAGATGGGCTGGTGACCGGGCTGGCGGCGGAGCTTGCCCCTGCCGTCGATGACAGGCCTAAGACGTGGTACCTTGCGAAGTGGTCCTATAGTGCTCAGGGAGCTCGGTCGGCCTTTTGGGATATTGTGTATTTTCCCCTCTTGGGGTTTAAGAGGATCATACTTAGGAATATCTTTCAGAGGGTCTAGGGAGCTTTGGTTCAGAGGCAGGAGCTTCAGGTTCATAGGGCTTATGATACTGTTTAGAGTTTAGATATGAGGGCCTTCTTGTGGGAGGGGACGGGGGGGTGGGTTGTTCTACATAGACCCTTGAACCTAAATAAACCACAAGTGCAATTCTTGAGCCGTACCCGCGAAGCCCAAAGCCTGAAATGGGGTGGTTGCTCTAAACTATGGGCTGTGTTTCGGATGCTCTGCTTTGAGTTCAACTAGATTGTCATGAGGGTTCCCGGGTTTGGAGCCGAGGCTTCTTCGAGGGTTTAGAGTTCGGGGTTCCTTTTTTGTTGATTTTTGTTGAGAGTCTACAGCTTCGGGGTAATTAGAGTTTGGGGACTGGACACGTTTGCATTCTCAGGCTTGACACTCAGGTCTTCGTCTCCTGTTTTGCAGCATTGTTTGTTGGCTTAGAGGGTTTATGGGGATTGGGGGGGGCCATCACCTTCCGAACGTCAGGGACAGACACAGGAGAGCTCGGGGGTGTAAATCCTAAGATGCCTACAGGTACAGCTGACACAGCCAGAATGGGGGGTCGATCCACATAATTGGCCCTTTTGTGGATCTCGAATCATGGTTTATTTCCGAAGAGCTTAAGCCGTTGAATGGCCCCATTGGGGTAGATCAAACCTAAATCGTGAAACCAAGATTCTAAACCTCATAGCTTCGGGTACCCATTATGGCTCAGTGAACCCTAATTCCCTAAACCCTAACCCCCCCTCACTAAAACCTGCAAGTTTCACCACCTCTGTAGTTGTCCAAGTACCAACAACTGGCCACAGGGCTTTGGGCTTACAGTTTACCGGGTTTGGGGGTAAAAAGGAAAATATTTACGGCGTAGGGAAGTGTTTGGGTTTGGGGTCGAGCATTTGGGGAAGGCCCTTTGTTGTCGTGATCAAGACAGCCTATACTGCACCTCCCTACTTAGGGCACTTACCCCATTTACAACGTCCTTTGCTGTCCATGCATTGTGGTACTTGGACTCTTTTAGCAGTGCCACGGCCGCCATGGAAGTGTCCGTGTCCCTGCTGAGCGGCCGACCCTCGCAAAGGCTTTTACTCAGGGGCTCTGACCCCTGTGCCCCTTATACTAACAGTGCTTAATGGGATTATGGTACCCCCCTATTGTTATCCCTACTAAGGGCTGTTAGTAAAGGGGGAACATCGCAACCTTTGCCCCAAACAGGCCCCGATAATCCGAAGGACTCTTGGGTTGGGCCTTTGTGCACGCGCTCACGCACTGCTTCTTCAGATTTGAAGTCTTGTAGGCGTCCGGTTCAGGGCATCTGTTAAGAGGTTCAGGGGGAGAAAAAGGGGCATAGATGTAGCCCATATCCAGTGGACTTATATATGACCCCACCGCAGTCCAAGTAGGTTTTGACGTCTAGTGTCTCATACGCATTTTCCCAATCTCTCGTGGGCAGCCTGCCCCACAGACAGCGGGAACTGAGCCTAGAAAGAACCCCAGTAGGTGACCATGATGAGAACGATGTTGTTGTGGTGGTCGTAGTAAGCTAGGAATAGTCGTGGTGCTGGTGGTAGGACGACCGCGGGAGTAGGGAGTAGTAGTCGTCGCATAGCAGCAACCTCTGGAGCCTTCGGTTACACACGGCCCTTCGCATGGCAACCCACCTGGGTGACCCTCAGATGAATGGTTTGGGGGTTTAGGGTTTAGAGTTTAGCTTGAGGCTTGGAGTCAGACTCAGCCGAAATCTAAGGATCAGCGAGGATTGAAGCAGGGCCGGAGTGGACCATCCAGGACACAAGGGTCCTAGACCCTTTGACCCCTAAGGGCTCCCAGAGTTGTCACTAGGCCGCATTTGAGATAAACACTAGTTCGTGGCAGTGACTACGTTCAGTAATTTGGTGCGTTTATGTATGAACAGCTCTTTTATGTACATATACACGTACCTAACTATCGATCTTATTTCCTGTATGTAAGCGTTTACGCTGTATGGTTGGGGATCTACTGTTGTTTGTCTTGTTTCTTGTGCTTCGTGGGGTAGCGGAGCACGTAGCTGCCGGCAACAGACCACAGACATTCTGGCTACCCTCAACCCTAAGCCCCAAACCCTAAATCCCTAAACCCTAAACACCAAACCCTAATAACCCTAGGCCCTAAGCCCCAAACCCTAAACCCCAAACCCTAATACCCCTAGGCCCTAAGCCCCAAACCCCAAAACATTAAACCCTAAAACGCGCTAACTCAAAGCGCTAAATACCCTGGGTCCATCCCGGGGTCTCCGGACCTCGGGTTCTAGATGTTTGTTGTGCGAACTTGTGTTCGGGGCATTTAGGATTCTTAGGGTTGATGGAAGGGTGTTTCGGAACCTTTCTAGGGTTGCTTGGCTTTTTTGTGCTTCAAACCCCAAACCCCGAGCCTCAGCAAGGGCCTGAGCCTATGTTGATGAAAACCAAGAGCCGACAAGCGGGACCACGCCCTCATCTTTGCCCCAGAAGCCGCTATCGAGCCCCATGATCTTGTGGACTCAAGGCTGGGTGATTTTGATTTTGGGCCCTGGGTCTGGTACTCATGGCACCCTCAGTCTTCAAGCCCTGAACTCAAAGCTCGTTTAGGACGTGCGCCGGGCGGCACAGCGAAAGTTGCGCGTCCGCTTGCCGCTGGGCAGGGCCTGGGCTTTAGGTTTGTGCTTGCAGCCGCACTGGTTTTTACAGACAGTAAAAGACATCTCCCCAAAAAAACACAGCACGTGTCCCTTAAAAGTATAATTTGCCACATATACATGTATTCACATGTCCAAATTTCATGCATCTAGCCAAGCCCTCCCAAGCCAGAAAACTCGGAGCGCAAGTTCTGAAAGGCGACGACTCCCCCGAGATTTCTTGGAAAAACGTTGGTGTCTTTTCATGCTGTTCTTGGGAGAACATGCAGAGTTCGTTTCTGTGAGAAGCTCAACAGCACCTCTCCCTTCCGATGAAAAGACATGTCTTGTCTACCCCTCAAAGCAAGTCCCAGCCTCCGCAAGAATCCTCCCAAATATCATACGTATGCCCTTTGGCCCAGCGTCAGAGATATGTCCATTCGATGATGATTCTTACATTCCGAGAAGATGTCAGTACATCGTTCGAGTGGTTGATCAAATGCTAGAGTGACTCTTGGCGGGCGAATTCTGATTTCCTGCACCGCGGAGCAAACTCTATAGTACTGCAAAGCAAGATCTGCCTGTTAGATCCTCCTGAACCCCCCGTTTGAGGCCAACCTTAGAAACCCCTGTAGACCCTAAACCGCCTGAACCCCAAATCCCCAATTCGTGAGACCCTTAGTGTGGTCCCTTACCCTTGTTGATAGGGATCCGAAGTATGGGCCCTCATGATATATAGTGTACATAAGGCTTATAGAACCAAAGAGGCCCATACTTAGGACCCCCACAATCTGATACATGGTGCTCCTAACACAAGGCTTGGCCTCGTCAACGCGGATGGCGAGGCGCCAGACCGCGGGTTTTGTTTCGAAGTGCTTTGTGGTGTTGGAAATCTGTGGCGGTTTGAACCCTAAACCCTAAGCCCCAAAGCCCTTAGAAACATCCCAACCTAAAACCTAAGCCCCAAAGCCCTAAACCTTAAAACCCTTAGCAGGTGTTGTGGTGTTTGGCGGCTCCAAGTTGTTTGCCGTTATGGAAGCTTTTGGGGAGTTGGGATGGGAGAAGCAAAAGCAGCTCTTTTGCGAGAGTATTGCAGATCTGTTGTACATGGAACACACATTGAGTTTGCAGATGAATGTCTCTACACCCACTAAGCACTAAAACCCTCTAAACCTAAACGCCCTAAGTCCTACAAAACCCTCTGAACCTAAACCCAAACACCTAAACCTCAGACCCCAGAGGTGCTGCCAGAAGACCGTGACCTTGATCGTGCTAACGTCAAAGACGGCGATCTACTGAGCGCGGTGGTCGGGAAGCTTGGTGTTATGTGCATCCTTGGGGAGGGGGTTGACCCTAAGCCCTAAACCCTAAACCCTAAACCCTAAACCCTAAACCCCAAACCCTAAACCCTAAACCCTAAACTAAACCCTAAACCCTAGACCCTAACCCAAAGGGCGCCTAGGTGTTATATGCTCCTTCATCATTCCCAAACCTTACCCCAGTTTGGGTCTTAGGGTTCTGGGTTTAGGGTTTAGGTTCTTTAGGGTTCAGGGCCCCAAGATGGTTCAGGCGTTGAGGGGTTTATGTAATTATGGGTTTCGGGGTTTAGGGTTCAGGGCTTCGGGCCCCTGAGCCCCAAACCCTGAAAACTCTTTCTACCCCAAGCGTCCCTTGAAGAAGCACCGCGCTGTACTCCAAACAGCCCAACCATAGGCCTTTTTTTTTGCTTGAAGCAGATATGTTTGCAAGTTCGATATGTGGAGAGGTAATCGAGGCGAAATCTTGCGTTAACCCCCGAACCCTATAAGGTCTGCGCCCTCAACCTTACCCATGAATTGGGATCTTCCCCCTTAGACTAGCAGCTTAACAGTCCTTTTAAGCGGGATTTTAGTACCCCCTAGTATAGTCCCTATTCAGGACGGTTAGTATAAGGGGGGACATCCCAACCCATGAAGCTCAATTTAAAAAAACAACTGGTTCAAACGGCGTGTAAACGACTTTTGCTTAATGTTTTTTGCCGACATCAAGTTCTGACGTTGTGGGGTGCAAAAGCTGCCCCCCTGAAGCCAGGCTCAACCAGCATGGAGCCCGAAAACCCCATAAGCCCGGAAGAACCCCTACGCCCGCACAGAAGCCCCAAAGCCCAATCAAACCTTTACCCTAAGCTTGCAACCCTGAAAGCAAGGAAGAACCTAAACCCTAAAACCCCAAAGCCCTAAAGCCCTAAAGCACTGAAGCCAT